GAGAAAAGAAAAAGAAGTTTTGATCCAAAAAGTGTGTTTCCTTTCTTTTTTTTTGATTCAAAGCTTACGGGAACTTACCTTTCTTGTCTTGTACGCAACAGGGGGTTTAAAACTTACGAAAAATCTTAATGGGCTTTTCTGGGAATGTTCCGGGAATCACCGGGAAATAACCGAGAATCACCGGGAATCACCAGGAATTACCAGGAAACACCAGGAAAAACCGGAAATCACCGGGAATCACCGGGAAACACCAGGAAACACCGGGAAATCACCGGGATTTTTTTAAAAAGCAGCGGAAGTCCAAGTTCTCGTCTCAATGACCAACGGTTGCGGTCAGGAGACGCGCGACCGCGGTGATCATAAGCTCGGCTGCGGTCACATTCACGGTGCCACGGTCGATGATGCGTTGGCCGCGGATCGGTTGGTTGCGACCGCGACCCTTTTTCCTGCGGCCGTCGTCTAACTTTCAGATTTCTGCCTGACCGAGCAGCTAAAAACCTCTCCTCTTTTGTCGGTTTTTCTAATTTTCTGATTTTTTTGTGGTTTTTTATTTTATAAGAGTACCTGAAACTTAAAAGAAAAAGAAAACATAAATTGTAAAAAAGAAAAGAAAACTAAAAGAAAGAGTACCTAAATGGGTTGCCTCCCATTAAGCGCTTTTGTTTTAAGTCGTTTAGTTTGACGTAGGCATGAAAAATCAGGCTGATTTGAAGGACACTCCGCTGGAGGTTTAACTTCTTCTCCTTGAGGAGCCATCTTCTTTCCTTTACTCTTCTTTCGGACTTCAACGTTGTTTAAAACCCTTTTTGTGTTTTCGATCAGCTCCTGGATTTGGTCCTCACTAGTCTCTGTCGCATCTGGTGGAATGATGATCTTGATCTTTGCAAAAGCTCTCGGCTTGTCCTTTTCTTTCTCTTTAGGCCAGTTTCCTTTGCTTGGAAAATCATATTGGACAGTCGGATAAAACCTTCTGAGATCTACATTGAGGAAGACAGCATGCCGGTTCGCGTGACCGATTACTGCTCCTACAGTAGCTAGAAATGGTCTCCCGAATATAAGTGGTCTCTCCTTGTCTTGATCCATTTCCAGGACTTGGAAATCTGCTGGAACAATCTTGTCCCGTACTAGAACTTGTAGATCATGAATCGTCCCTTCAGTATCTTTTTGAGTTGAATCTCCAAAGATAACCTTGACCGTCGATGTCTTTAAGGTTTTTATGCCCAATTTTTTGGCAAATGTCTTTGACATGAAGTTGACATTGGCTCCGGAATCGCATAAACAGTCTGTGAACTTGATTCCTGAAATGAAATATTGGTAAATAAAATGTCTCGGATCGTCGGCTTTTGTAAGCCTTTGAAACGGTGAACGTTGAGGTACCTTGAATGGTGGATGTTTGGCATCGACATCCTTGTAAAGTGGTAAAAAGATTGGGGTTTCTTCATCTTTTCCATCGGCTCTGGCTTCTTCTTCGGGCAGTGTGGTTATGGGATTGCAAAATCTCTTGGGGTTATCTTCAACTCTTCCGGGAAGAGCTCCACTTTGTCTTTTCATAGAGTCGGCTGTTTGGACAACTTGTACGTCTAGCTTTTTAACGTGCGAAGATAAAGCTTCAAACTTCTCGTTCAGGTTATTGTACATGCAGTCAACCTTCACGTTCATGTCTTTATATGCTTTCTTGTTTGTCATAACGAGCTGTTGGATGGACTGTTCAAGTCTTCCGATTTTCGAAGCTAACTGGTTCGTTGTGACTCCTTGCTGTGGTACAAATTGATTGTTAAAACCCGTACCTTGATAGTTATATGGCTGTCGCGGTCGATAAGCTCCTGTCCCTCCAAAATTTCCACTTTGGAACTTGTTTTGGAAGGATTTTTGCTGTGGTGGGTAGTACTGATCTTGAGGATTCTCCACATTTGGATTGTGATAAGATATATTGCTGTAGTTTGCATTCCCGAAGTTGTTGTTGAAGCCATTGTTGAAGCAATTTGGATATGGTGCTTCTGCTCCTACATAGTTCACTTTTTCTTCTTGAAAGGCTGGATTAATGTGATCTGATATCACTAGGTCCTTCTTCTTCTGCGCCATTGTTGGTCTCACAAGCATGGATTAGGCGATTGTTGCTTTTCAAAAGCTGGCTCATCATGTTCTTCAAATCGGTTATCTCCTTGTTGTCTGTTCCGGTTTGCTTTGTCGAGTGATCGTATTCAGGACAGTCATTGCTATTGGCTTGAGCCAAATTCTCGATGAGGGCTCTTCCTTGTGCTATATTCTTTTGTCCAAAATCTCCTTTGCTAGCTGTATCAAGCGAAAGTTTGTATTTTGGTTGCAAACCTCGGTAAAATGTGCTCAGCAGGCTTGATCCGGGAAATCTATGGTGAGGGCAATCACGTTCATACTCCTTAAAACGTTCCCAGGCTTCATAGAAAGGTTCAGTCGATCCTTGCTGAAAACTTGAGATCTTGGTTCTCAACAAGTTCGACCTTGACTTAGTATAGAAGTGGTTCAGGAAAGCAGTTTTACATTCTTCCCAATTAGTAATCGATCCTGTAGGCAAAGATTTCAACCAACGGTGAGCTTTATCTGTTAATGAAAAAGGGAGCAACTTACACTTTATATAGTCTGCTGGAACTTGGTTTGTTCTCATCATGCTGCAGATTTCTTCAAAGAGCTCGATATGATCCATTGGATGTTCAGAAGGAACTCCATGGAATTGGTTTTGTTTCACCAAAAAGATGATTTGAGGCTTGACTTCAAACTAATTCTGGTTCAGAAATGGTACTTGAATAGCGGATCGGTTCTGAAAATTCTGAGTAGGTGCATCGAAATCAGCTATGCGATGGTTCCTGGCTTGTCTACGGTGTTGATTTGCTTGCTGAACAGGGCGGTTAACGCGTCCGTTTGGCTGCATCCCCTGGTGGTCACCATCGGCTGCATTGATAGGTGCATCAAGGTCTTCACGTTCTTCTCTCTCGCGGTTTTGATGGTTTCTTGGAGGAACCTCATCCTCTTCTCCATCTTGTCGAGCATGATCACCTTCTCTGTGATCGTTCTCTTCATTTTCTCCATGTTCGGACCCGTCTTGGTCCATGTTTAAAGCTCGGTTAACAGGATCTCCAGGCTGGTCGTCGTTTGCCATTCCTTGCTTTCGTCTAAGCCTTCGAAGTTCTCTACAGGCTGGTCATCGTTTGCCATTCCTTGCATTCGTCTAAGTCTTCGTGTCTGTCTATCTCGTCTAGAATTGGAATGTTTTCTACAGGTCTGCGCCTAGTATTCATGCAATTCAGAGAAAAGCAAAAGAAGGGAAAGATAATTCAGCAAACTTTCAGAAAGAACTAGAGATCAGGTGTCTAGAACAGAAATTAGAACAAGAAAAATAACAAAGGCAGCGAAACAAATCCCCGGCAACGGCGCCAAAAATTTGATGTGTGTCAACTGCGTGAGGGAACAAGTTTTACCCTTAACAAAAAAAAAATGAAAGCTGCTATGCACAGCTAATCAGTTGTAGTATTTAGGGATCGAATCCACAGAGATTTGTGTGCCTAGTATTCTTCTACGGTTTCTAACTTTATGTCTAGACTAAATTAGTTTTAGGGGTTGGTTGTTTGTCACAGACTAAACTAAAACGAAAGAAAGCAAATAAATCTATCCTAAAGAGCAAGTAGAAAAATCGAATGAAAGCAAATTGAACAAGCAAAATATCGAACTAAAGCAAATGGAATGCAGATCTAAATAAGCAAGTAAAAATCGATTAGTTTGTAAACTATGGCTAAAACCGTTGAGCTTTTGGGAACACACAGGGATCATAATCGGTTTTAACACTAGGGATTATAGATTGGGATTGACGGATATCGAAATACAGGGTTCTAGAGCTAGAGTACGGCGGTATGACTACATCACTGTCGTGATCATAACCAACTGTTTCTCGCAACCCATGACCAGTAGGTTTCCACTCTAGCCCTGGAAGGGAGAGAACGCAAGAGCTGCACAAGACTCGTCAGTACTCACGATCTCGCCGCAGGTAGGTTTCCACTCCTATAGAAAAATCGCTTGTTTCATTCTAGGTCTGATACTTAATGAAAACTTTCACAACACTAACTATCTAGATCAGATACTAGCACTACAAGAAATATGCTTATTGATAGCACATTTTAATAGCGTAATATTTGTAACTGCTATTAAATGTCATTTGCGGAATTGGGTACTCTAATATAGCACTTAAAAAATGCTAAAGAGTAAATAATGTGAGCGGGAACAAAAAAAAGGCTTTGGCTCGCAGAAAACACTTATGCCCGCCAACACTAAGTAAAAATTTCATGTTATAGACAAAACATAACAACATTCTGTCGACTAAAAAAAAACCATTTTCTCGGGTGAGCAAAAAATAGAAAGTTCTAGGGTTTACGAGAGAAGAGAGTGATCTCAAATCTATCAAGCCGATTAACAATCTGACGTCTCTGATACCCTCATCGTCGGAAATCTCTTTCACCAGTGTCGATTTTGGGTTTAGATCAGGTCATCTGGATTCCTGTTCGAGTTAAGCTCTCGATTTTGGAGATTTCTGGGTTTAGCAGGAAATTTTCGGCGATTAAGGCACAGTCGTTTGTCAAGTTCAGCGGAAACTAGACGACGCACATGCAAAGGTAACTCCAATTTCACTCTTCATAAACCCTAAATGTAATTCCATCATTCGATTCATTTAATTCTTATACTTGTTTTACTTACTACACTTTCATTCTCATTTCTTCCCTCTTGAGGTTTCGAAGCTGAAGAGAAACCAAAAGACAGCGAGAAGACATCAAATACATAGGCGAACAAAGCTCAATCGTGTCTGATTTCATCGATAATCAAGGTAAATGTAACTCGTTAATCGGTTTAGGGTTTATACAGAATTGATACGAAACTCGTTTATATTGAAATTTACTTTGTCTTCCGGAGTACTTTTAGAGTGTTTGTTTAGGGTTGAGTCGTTTAGCTAACAATTTTTATTAAGGTTGGAGTATACAATGGTGGACAAGGCATGGGTTCACCTATGCAGGTATCACTTTATAAACATTTGTTCAGGGTAGATGTGCTTCTATATAGTTTACCTGTATAGTTTTGACTTTTTTCATTCACCGACATGCATATGTTGAAGAGCGGATCCTGCATATGAGATTGGTGCTAGGAATTTTGTGAACTCAGTTGCCTCTGCCTTAGGAGATTGTGATTTGGTTATATGCCTGTGCATTGATTGTCGAAACGTAGACCGTCATTCTAAAAATGATGTAGTGGATCACCTGGTCACAAGAGGAATGGATGAGACGTACAAGCTAAGGACTGATTGGTATCATCATGGGGAAGTAAACTGTGGGTCTGACGAAGCAAGGAAAGTGATTAGAGAGTGGAACGAGGAGATTGTAGGGTTGTATCAAGCTGCCGAATACTTGGATGAAGAGTTAGCTAACAAGACTGACTTATGCGATGTTGCTGAAGGTTTAGATAAGAGAGAAGACGAGTTTCTAGCTAAACTTGGTGATGCCGAAACGCCATTGTATCCAAGTTGTGCCAGCCATAGCAAGCTATCAGCAATTGTATCGTTGTTTAGGCTGAAGACTCAGAATGGGTGGTCGGACAAGAGCTTCAACGAGCTGTTAGAGACACTGCCGAGTATGTTGCCGGAGGATAATGTGCTTCACACCTCGTTGTATGACGTGAAGAAGTTCATCAAGTCTTTCCATATGGGGTACGAGAAGATCCATGCTTGTGTTAATGATTGTTGTCTTTTCAGAAAGAGGTTGAAGAAGTTAGACAACTGTCTCAAGTGCAAGACATCAAGATGGAAGACTAACTTCCAAACCGGTGAACTTAAAAAAGGTGTCCCTCAGAAAGTTTTGAGGTACTTTCCCATCATTCCGAGGCTAAAGAGGATGTTTAGGTCAGAGCAAACTGCTAAAGAGCTACGGTGGCATTTTACTAACAAAATTAATGATGGAAAGCTGCGTCATCCCGTAGACTACGTAACATGGGACCAGATGAATTCCAAGTACCCGTTGTTTGCCGCAGAATCAAGGAACATTCGGCTAGGTCTATCTACCGACGGTTTCAATCCATTCAGCATGAAAAATACAAGGTATTCTTGTTGGCCTGTATTGTTGGTGAATTATAATATGGCTCCTGACTTGTGTATGAAGAAGGAGAATATCATGCTTTCCTTGTTGATTCCTGGACCGTATCAACCTGGCAACAGTATAGATGTGTACCTGGAGCCACTGATCGATGACCTCCAACAATTGTGGGACATTGGAGAGCAAACGTATGATGCATTCAGTAAAACCACATTCACAATGAAGGCAATGCTATTGTGGACTATTAGTGACCTACCTGCATATGGAAATCTGGCTGGCTGCAGAGTAAAAGGTATGATGGGATGTCCATTATATGGAAAGCATACTGATAGTTTATGGTTAACTAATAGCAGGAAGCATGTTTACATGTGTCATAGAAAGGGATTATCACCCACGCATAGTTACCGTGGGAAGAAGGCATGGTTCGATGGAAAAGTTGAATATGGAAGGAAGGGTAGGATTCTAACGGGTCATAACATATCTGTGTTGCTGAAGAATTACAAAAACGAGTTTGAAAATGTTAGACAAACTGGAAGGAAAAGAAAAAGGGTTATTCCTGCGGAGTCATTAACTGATAGTGAAGACGAAGAATCCGAGTCATTATTGAAAATTGGAGGAAGATTGGTGAAGAACGTAGAACAGTTCTATGGAAATCTGTACAGGTAGACCCACTTGAATTTAGAATAAGGTAAGTATAATGGACTTGATTTTTATTGTTTGATTTGGAATTTATTGTAGGCAAGGTTCGAATTAGATGAGGAGTATCACAAGATGGCTGTCATCAAGCAAATGAGTTATATATGGAGGGCCTCTAAGTTGAGGCTAGTCAGCCAGATCAAGAGTTGTAAGAATAACGCAAAAAGATTGAAGCTTCGCCCAAAGAATATTCCACCGGCAGAATGACGCAAATTTGTGAAGGCTAAAACTAGTGCAGCATTTGAGGTAATCACGTATCCCTCATTTACTTTCATATACAGATTACTGAATTTTCGTTTTCAGGAACTAAGTGACACATATAAAGAAAGAAGGCGAAACCAGATTCCTCATACTTGCTGTCGAAAGGGGATGGTCAGATTGGCTGAAGAGATGGTAATATTCCGTATGTGTAATACTGATGCAACTATATGCAAATAACTAACATTGCCACCTATTTTCAGAAAAAAAAGAGAGCTCTGAACCGTCTGAAGTAACTAGACTACAGGTATGGGTTAAGTCTCGAACCAAGAAGGATGGCACTGCGGTCAATACAAATGCAGCCGAGAAGATTGTAAGTAGTTAACACTAACTAGTTGGTTTATTTTTAAAAGTTGATGAATACTGGCGTATCTTGGCTGATGTCGAAAGTGCGTGTACAGAAAAAGGCAGCTGAACTTGTTGAAACGGTTTCTTCCTCTTCGACGTCCACAAATCCCAAAGAAGATCTCCTTTCTCAGCTACTTGGGCCTGATAATCCCGGCCGTTTGAGAGCGATGGGTAGAGGGATGAGTCAAACCAAGTTAGCATGCTTCCAGATGAAAAGCAAGTTTATGGATGAAACGAGACCAACTAAGATTGATTCAACAGGTCCATGATTTAGAGGAAGCACTGTCAAAAATACAGAACCAGGTAAGCGAGTATTTCATGTCTGGTGATAGTAACTCTGGATTTTACATTGTTATTATATTAACTTAGGTTGGTATTTCAAATTACATTTTTCAGAAACAAGAAGCTGAAGTCGGAGAGAATTCTGCGCCAAGAGTAAACTCTTGTTTTGTCTTATTTAGCATTAAAAATATATGTCATATGTTTACATCTGTTTTTACAATTCACCATTAACGTTTGCAGAGTGTCAACATGAAATTACAAATGAAGTGTCTGTTATTCGACTGGGCTGGAACGGATGAAAAAGTTGGTGAAGGACGTATTTTGTCTGAAGAGCCTGAGGAATTTGTCAACAGTATATCCTTAGGCCCAAACTCGTACAAAGTTTTAGTGGAAACAGCGATTAAGCCAGAAGCTTATCTTTGGAGACCTGCTCGCAACGTCTTTAATATGGAGCAAGCAGTTGGAGAGATGATTGCATGGCCTCAAAATTTTGTGGTTCCCTTTAGCAGCGGATGTGAACCAGAAGACATTACGCCTCTGGTAAATATTCTTTCAGTATGGAATATTATAGTTGAGTTTATAGTAAATGTAAAACTGTGTAATGCTTGACAATGGTTTCATTTGTTTACTGCTTCACAGGGTCCTAATACTAGCTCTCGGAACTTCTGCAAGCTGCTTAACTGGGCTAGAACTAACGAGGAAGTTGTTGCAGAGGGTTGTTGGCATTCTCGAGAGCCAAAAGCATTAGTCAACGGACTACCTCTCGGACCTAATGCAGTGAAGGTATTCGTCGATGTGGTTTTATGCCCAAATACCTTCTTCTAGAGGCCAACGACTGAGTTCTTAGATTTGGAGGATTCAGTCAACACCTTTTTCGCCTGGCCTGCTAATAGAGTAATCTTTGAGGCAAGTCCTGAAACGAGTTCTCCTATTGCTAACTCTGAATCAACTCCACCAACTCCAATAAAAAAACCAATGAAAGCAATGTCAGAAAGTTCTACTCCTATAACTCAGGTAGGTTTTCTTACTAAACTTTCATTTGTTTGGTTTGTTTGGATTTGTTGATTTCGTGTATAGCTATATATTCAAATTGTCTTCGCTACAGGAATCCAACCAAATGGAAACGGGGAATGAAAATAAAAAGTGCTTGGTGATGGCTATTACTGGAAAGAAGCGAGTGATTGCTGAAGGACGTTGGTCCACAAACGATCCACTTCAAACAGTACATTTTGTTCCCTTGGGTCCAAATGCAGTTAAGGTGTGGATTGATATTGTCAAAGTTAAAGATGCTTGCGTATGGAGGCCTTCGTCTGAGATCGAGTGCATGGAAGATGCAATAGGAACAGCTATTGCTTGGCCAGAGGATAAAGTGGTACTCGTCTAAATGCAGTAGTCATATGATACTTTAGTTTTTATCTTCTCTGAACTTAAGGATGGTTTCGTTGGAGACATAACCTGATATGTGTTTATGGTTTTCTTTGTTGGAAATGCTTGTATGTTGCTAAAACATTAACCAGTACTCAGTTCTTCTAAATGGAAAAGCAGTTGCATTTCAATTTTTGTTTACCAGGTTTTGATATTTAGTAAGTGCATTTTTTGAGGTTTTGGATATATCGTATTTGGTTAAAAAAAACCTACATCGCCAAATTCAATAGCACGTAAGAACAGCTCCAACACTAAACAATACATCGTGAAAAAATAGCTACAGTATATGATGTTGGAGATAAAATAAAATGCTACGACTCAACAAACAACAGCAATGAATTTCTCTTATAATAAACTAGAATGTAGCTATAAAACCACGCTACTATAAAGGTGTCAATAACACATAAATAATGCTACAACATTTAATAATACAGCGTCTAATTTGTGCTACTGTATCATTTATAATAACATCATAACAATGCTATTATATATATGAATATAATAACACTTTCCATAAACGCTATATTAAGGGGTGTACTCTATTATAGCTCCGGCAGATACAGCGTTTATGAAAACGCTATGAAAGTACTTTCATAGCGTTATTCGTATGCTACGAATGTACATATTTCTTGTAGTGTAGGTGATCAATCAAGCATACATGCAATAAGAACGAGAATAAACAGAGAACAAAGTTAAAATCCCAGATCTATAAACCTAGATGTCTTAATCGATTATGACAGCCCCTTTCGGGAACCCTAAGCCCAACTCGGGATCTACTCAGACATGGCTGAGGTCGACATCATCATTGGTTTTAATAAAAGTAATCAAAAACAGTAAGAAAAGAGATGAAAAAAAGCTTCTCTATTGAAGAACTCAGAGTTGAACAATCTTCTCTAAAAATCGCATAAAACGGCTAAAGGAAAAGAGTTTTTGTAAAAGTATGAAGGTTCTCTCTAAAAACGACCTAAATGACAAGTATTTATATTCTTCAATACTCCATTGTCTCTAGGGTTCCGGAATTGAGGCTGAGAAATGACTTTGGGCTTCAGAAATATGGGCTTTAAATCGGAGTTGGCCGGTCGTGGCCAGGAGTAATGTGACTGCGGGAAATAGAGGCTTGGCCGCGGTCGTGAAGCTTTTGACCGTGGGAAATAGGCTGGTGGCCGCGGTCGCGTGACTTGCTGGCCGTCTTCAAGTGTCTCCGGGGCTAATGGAATATCTTGAGATCCAACCGTTGGAATGTCTCCAAACCAAGTGCATTTGAAAGCTGGTTGATTCTTCTATAATTTGTCCAATTTTGAGGGTGATCAGACGGTGAGAAGGTCTTCGTATCTCCACAAGAGTTCTGACGGTCTGCATTTATCTAAAAGAGACTTTTTGTTCTAATTTGTGCCTCTTTATCCCAAATTACCTGAAAAGTTTTTTAAAATCCAAAAACATAGAAATCCTTTGAAAACCTTTTAAAATGGAGTGAAAACACATGTAAAGACATTAAAGTGATCCATAAAAATGGTCAAAATCCGGTGTTATCACCTACGCTCAGACATAAGTCAAGTCCACTTGCAGTCAGATAAAGAAGACTCCCGATCATAGCCCAATTCAATTTCTCACTGACAGCTTGTCCTTCCTTGTCTTTTGACAGCTTGGTCGTGGTACCCATTGGAGTTTTAGCCACTTTGCAGGTTTCCATTTCAAAACGTTTCACAAGATTTCGAGCATATGTGCTTTGAGACACAAAGATCCCTTTGTCTGATTGTTTGACCTGAGACCAAGGAAGTAGCTTAATTCCCCAAACATGCTCATTTCGAACTCCTTTGTCATCGTAGAGACAAATTTATTCACTAATTGCTGACTTGTTCCACCAAAAATAATGTCATCTACGTAGATTCGGACAACAATTATGGAATCACCTTCCTCTTTGATAAACAAGGTTTGATCGACACTTCCCCTCACATACTCAGCTCTGAGCAGAAACTGTGTTAGTCGTTCATACCAGGCTGTAGGGGCTTGTTTCAGACCATAGAGTGCTCGTTTTAATTTGTACACATGGTCTGGGAAGTGAGGATCTTCGAAACCTTTAGGCTGAGCTACATACATGATGCTGCTAGGGTTGATTTCACGGCTTCATGTTTTAAATTTATAACTCTAGATATCTGCAAGTGCACATTAGTGCGTTATAGTACTTAGGGTGTCGATCCATAGAGAATCCACGCTTTATCTGCAGAACTTTAGAACCAGAATTAGTAAATGAAGTCTAAGATGAAAAATAGATTTTTGAATAGGTTGTCACGATTTCTAAAATGTATTTTTTAAAAAGGATTTGAAAATGGATTGAGAAGGGTTTTAAAAAGGGTTTTTATAAAGAGTTTTAAAAAGGGTTTTAAAAACTAGAAGTGAATAAATTGATAATAAATCTAAAGGATGAACAAAGCTCTTAATATTGATCCTAGTAAATTCTTAGAACTCGAGTCACGGATGTATGAATACGCCATTGTCGTGATCATAGACAACTATCTCTCTCAACCTTGACCAGTAGGTTTCCACTCAGGCCCTGGAAGAGAAAAGATGCAATATGCTTAAGACTCGTCAGCATTCACAAATCGCCCATAGGTAGGTTTTCACTCCTATGTTTGTTTTGCTCTCCCAAACTAGATCTGGCCCCGGATGAATACTTTTGTATCACCAATGACCTGGATAAGTCTGTAGTTCGCGATGCTTGATCCATGCTTTAAGTATAAATTCAGAAGAAAGATTTCTAGAATTCGGCTTTGGTTTATCTCGCGAAGACCCCTACCAAACATAGTCGATTCTCTTCGATCGAGCCTTTAAACTCATACCTCATCATTCAAAAACGTGCACAAAGTAAATAGAAGAGACGTGCATAGATTAATAAGAAGAAAGAAGTAGAGAAAAACAGACAAGGAGAAGAAGAAGAAGAATCTCGATTTCGAGAGCTGGGCTCGGAGACAACTTCTCTTCAAATCCTTTAAACATCAATCTAATATGAAGAAGACAAAAATGAAATTGAAAGATGCATAAGAGTAAACCCGAATTAAAGTAAAGGTAGAACATAAAGAGGGTTCAAGAGAAATCTTTATCTCCCTAAACTAAGAACTAAGAACATAAGAACATAAAAACCCTAAAAATCTAAATTTGGTGGCTCCCAAAAAGGGATTCTTCTGAGGCACACGAAAATAGGGCTGCTATCTTCAAATCTTACAACTCGTCCTTAGGGTTTTCTATGAAGAGAAGACGAATTGGGCTTGAAACGGGGTCATGGGCCTGCCTTTTAATCGGTCCTGGTCACGAGGCTTCTACCCGCGGTGAATTGGGGTTTGGCTGCGGCCAGAGGCTCGTAACCGTGGTAGAGTGTGTGTTCTCTGTGGTCGTGGAGCCTGGACCCGCGGAGATTGGCTTGTGAGGTTGAATCTTCATTCTGTGCTTGCTTCCTTTACGAGACTGCAGAAATGTCTTCAGTGCATCAAGGATATCCGGAGATATAACCATTGGATTGTCTCCAAACTAATTGCATTTGAAAGCTAGTTGTCTCTTTTATAATATG